AAAAAAAGTGATTTACAAATAAGAGTCTAGAAAGTGAAAATAAGGGTCTAAATTAAAAAATAATTATATATAAAAAATAATTATATATAATTTTAAAAATGTTATATATAGTGGCCAAAATAGCTATAATGTTATTCAAGCCAATGGCTTAATCATTATTAGCATAAGAAATATTAGTATCGATAAATATAGTTATTGTTATAACAATCCTCTATGATATTAAATAAAATACTGCAAATCAGTATGATATTTATTAATGCAAAAGAAGCTTGTTTAGCTATAAAGAGTTATTCTGTTAAAATTTCACCTTATAAATAATTGTGCTAGTTTAATACTATTCTTTTATACAATATTTAAATAAAATAATTATAACTAGTATTATTTATCTTTTTATCTAATAATCAGTATATGATAACTCTAAATGTCTATAATAAAACAACTGATAATTGATTTGTTATATTATAAACATATAATTATAATTTTTTTAACTATCAATAAATTTGAACCACTATGTGTAATTATTTTTTAACAATTATATATTATATATAATTATTTTTAATTTAAACTCATATTTGTAATTATTTTTTACTTTTCGAACTCTTATTTATAAACTCTTCTTTTTTTTATTTTATTAGAATTTTGATTTTATCTTGTTAGGATTTTAACTTGTCAGAATTTTAACTTGTATATGTTGAGGTTAGCACTATTAGAATTTGTGCTGTTAGAATTTTGTGATAGATTTATAACAGACTATATATATATATTTTAATATAATAAATTTATTATATCCAATTTATTATAGCTCTGCAATATTCCAAAAAGAAAATAAATATTGTAATAATACCGAGTTTATTGGTTTACTTTATATAAAATAGATAAGTTATATTACAAAAAATTCACTCAATATGATATTAATTAGTATGGTAATTCTAATTTTTCAAATTGTTCTTCATTTTCTGAGTTGACTTCTTCTTCTTTATATTTGAAGTCTAGTATTTTTTAATAATTTTCTATTGAGTAAAATATTAAATTCAGTTGTAGTTGTAATTCGGGTATTATTATAATATGGTCTAATATTTCTGGTTTGGTATAATATTTCCAAGTTTTATAGTTATTAGGTTCTATTTGTAGTGGTTCTTGGTTGTTAGAGGGGTGAATGTATGTTTTTATTTCAGTTGTATTTGTAGTATTATATCCATTAGTGTCTTTTGGTAGATAATAACTATGTTCTATTTCTATAAGTTTTTCTTGGTATATAAGTATTCTGGTTTCTTCTAAAGTTTCTCTTTCTGCTATTCTTTCAAATATTTCGTGAGGGTATTCTTGTTTGCCTCCTGGTATTCCATACTATGAATAGTATATTTTGTCAAGATTTATTTGTTGTGCTAATAGTATAGTCAGTAATCCTTCATTATTATATTTAAATATTGCTACTTGTGCTAGCTTTATTATTATCAGCAGGAGTTGTTTCATCTTTTGTATATTGTTTTATTAGATCGAATGTATGTTTTCTATGATTTCTTCTAAATTATAATTAGTAATGCTATAAGCTATTAATTAGTTATAGTATCCTTGATATTTGTAGTTGTTACTGTTATCCAGTTATATACTTCATTAGGTCCTGATAGCTTTTGTCATGCTAGTTTTTCTAGTATTATATTATAAAATATGTATTCTAGTTCTTTTAAAAGTGTTTCTTCTAGTTGTTGTAGCTTTCTCCTAATTTGTTCATTTTCTGAATAATAATTGGGTTTTGTATTTATTTTTATCAATTTTTCTTGAAGTGTTATTATTTTTTCAGTAATAAGGTAAACTTTTTTAGATTCTTCTAAATTATCTATTATTAGGTATTTATTATTTTGTTTATAGAATAATTCTGCATATCTATTTCTTGTATTTCGGTAAAATTAAAGTATCTGTAGTATAAGGTCTTGTAAATGTATTTCTTTATAAAATATTTTAATATAGTTGTCATGTTCTAAGAATGTTATTCTTAGTATTCATTTCTTTACTAAGATATAGTGGTATTCATCATATATTACTTTTGGTGTGAATATTAGTTGTGTTCTGGTTGAGTATTTTCCTAAGAGTATAGGTGTTTCAGTTGTTCGTAATAAATATAATTCTGAATAATAATGTAATTCTTCTTCTAAATATTTTTCTGTAGTTTTTATCTTTTTACTTGTATAATCAGAATTCATTTGATGGGTAATCTATTCCGTATGCTAGGTATATTGTTTCTCCAGTTCTTTGGTATTTATTTAATCATGCTTTAATGTAATTAGCTTTTCTTCTTGATTCGTTAGCTATCACTATCGTTAGCTATATGTCTATTATCAAATAGGTATTGTTGTGGTCTCTTTTTAATTAATTCTAATTGTCATATTTCTTTTATGAATAATAATAGGTTGATATATTTTTTATTTTCAGATATGTTTCGGAGTATTAATTCTTCTTTTTCTTCTAAGAGTAGTATTTCTAATATTTGTATTGTTGAAATCACTTGTTGTATCTGTGTATATGCTTTTTGTATTTCTAATACTATTTCTTTTGAAGGTAAATCTTTTACTCGGTTATATTGGTAATTTCCTTGTTTTCCTTCTGTATGTACAAAGTTTTAGTCTGGTAATTTGCTGTAAATAGTTACTTGTTGTTTTTCGATTTCAATTATTTCTTCTAGAAATGTATATTGACTTTCCTCTTGTTGTCTTTGTAAAAGTATAACAGAGGTTTGATTGTTTAAGATCATTTAGATCGTATTGGGTCGATATTTCTTTTATTTTTGGTTCTTTTCTTTTTGTATGATTTCTGTATTCTTCGTACAAGTCTTCGTGTCCTATATTTCTAAAGAATATTTCTTGATAAATATATTTTCCTTCGGTTGTTAGATGTTTTATTTGGTTAGTATAATCTTTGTCAGTACTTCTATAGTATCTAGAGTTATTTATTATTTGTTGTTCTATTGCTTTAGCGGTTTCGATTTCTTCATGTGTTGCATGTACTCTGTTTAGTAAATGGGCTTGCTGTAATCTTTGTTTAGTTGTAATTATTGATTCGTGTAGTTTATATGTACTTGGTGTTACTCCTTGTGTTTGTAAGAGTAATTGTATTGATACGAGTGTGGTTTGTAATATTCTAAGTACACTTGACTCTCATTAATATCAACCTCGTTAATATCAACCTCCCGTTAATATCAACATTTTATTTAGACAAAATAGACTCAAGGTATATAAAAACTATCCTGATATTATCAACCCTCGCATATATCAACATAATTGCCTAATCCAAATGGGTTGATATTAACGAGGGTCAAGTATATTCTAAAAGGTATTTTAGATTCTTTTTCTAATCATTCTAGATTAAATAAGAAGTTTTCTATATATGTATGTATATTTGTTAGGGTCAATAATATTTCTTCTTGTTGATTATGATTTCATTTATAGTATGTTGTTTGACTAAATATTATTAGTGCAGCTGTTTGTACAGAGGCATCTAATAACTTTAGCATTGCTTCTAGTTTTATGTTATTAGTCAGATTGGTTCTTGCTAATAAGTCTTGTATTGTTCTTTGAATATCTTTTTGTATACTATAAGGTGGTTGTTGGTGTAATATTTCTTTTCCAATATTTCGATTTTTAGGATCAAATTTATCTTTGGGTATGGTATTTTATTTTTATATGGTATCTAGTATTCAAATCGTAAAGGGTGAAATTCAGTTCTAAGTTGTTCTAATAGTTCATCTATAGGATTTTTTACTACAAATATTGTATAATCGTCTGTATCTTGTCTTGTTAGTATTGACATTAAGTTTTTAGTATAGTATTGGTTAGTAACCAAATATCTGTTTGTTCAATTAATTCTTCTAAATGTAGTATAACTAATGATTAGTCTGTTAGCCAATAATCTATATCAGTTCTTTGTTGTTCAGTAAGATTATGATTATTTGCAGGTAATCTATTGAATATGGTTCCTATTCTTTCTTTTATTATTTTAGGTATATCTTCTTTGTAAGATCATGTTGTAAGGGTAAGTATATTATTACTTATTTGTGTTTTATAAAATTCTTTGTCGTCTTGTCTATTAAATATTTGTCTGGTTATTAATGCTAATTTTAATAATATACAAACTGTTTTGATTCCTTGAATTCTGGTTCTAAGGTTGATCATATGTTAATAGTTCAGTAAGTGTTGTAGTTACTAATTCTTCTTTGAGGTTAATATAGTCTCTATATATTGTACAAATATATAGTTTTGGTAAAAGTTGTTCGTGTATATATTTTTTGCTTGCTTTGCAAGTTATTTCTTTTAAGAATGCTTGAGTTTCTTGTATTAATTCTATCAGAATTGTTGGATTTGCAGAGATATTATCTGCAGGTATTCTTTGTAGGTTTAAGATTGTTTCTACTTTTTGTGTTTGCCTATTGAATCTATAGGTTATTGTTTCAGGGAATTGTTGTTCTATTTTTTCTCGTACTTTGTTTGCTATGAGGGTTATATATTGTTTTGTTTCTAGTTTCATATGAGTATAATATCTATTTCTTGTATGATCTGTTTAATGTAACTTCAGATTTGGTTTTTAACAGTATCTTGGTCAGTAAAGTTTCTTAACAAGGCAGTTATTGTTGTTAATTCGAATTGTTGATTCTTATATATTTTATCAGTTAATTCTACTAGTCAGTTTCTTTGTTCAGTTGTTACGTTTAATATACAATTTCTTTTTAATGGAATTTCTTGTAATGTTTCTTTTACTTTTTCTAGATATTCAAATATTTGGTATTCTTTTTCTAATTGATCATTAGTTGTTTGTATAGTTACTAATTGGATTAAATATTTGTTGTCAAATTCTTTATCAATAAGGTAGTTGAATAATATGTTTTCTAGATATATACAAGTATATTCTTTTGCGTTCAATTTCCAATAAATATACTATAGTCCTTGGTAATATAGTTTAATAGTATTTTCTTCAAATTCAATTCTTTCTATTTTTGGTTTCGATAAAAGTAATTTTAGTCCAGTTACTATGTTCTTATATTGTAGCAATATGTGTATTTGTCTTCACAGTAGTATGAGTCTACTTTTCTAGTATCATCAATAAAGAATTCTTTTTCAGTAATTTCTTTATATACTCTAAAGAGTGAGTTTTTGTATTGCCATATTGCTTCTTTTAGTGTTGTAGAGTCTTGTGCTTGGTAATATCTACTTTGTACATAGTTTGCTGTATTATTTTAATAGTTTAAAGATTCGTACTGGTATATATTATATATAGTTATTTCTTTTTCATATTCTACTTCTAATTGAAAAATAGTTTTTTTAATATTTTTTTCACAAATTGTTTTGAGAAGGTAGTTTAACTTTAGTACTATTTCTTCTTGTGTTATTTATAAAGGTTGATTGTATTTCAATTGTTGTACAATAGTATTATGATTATATTTTTTATAGTCTTGTTCTATTATTGATTTATATTTGCTATTTAGTTCTCTTAATTCTTTTTTAAGTTCTTCAAGTTTTTGTTCTTTTTGCATTTATTCTTCTGTTTTAGCTTCTTCAGATTTTTTGTATGGTCTCTTATTTTGGTTTATTGTTTTGTGATTTTATAAGAATTTTCTTTGTTTTTTAGCAGTTTCGTAATCTTGGTAATATTTTTCTTTAGTTTGTTCAAGTTGTTCAATTTGTTGTTCAAATATTAGAATATTCTTTTCTTCCAGTTGTTGGTTATCGTTTGTAATTTTTTCAATTAGTTGTTTCAAATTGTTATAAGTCAAATACTGTCCTACTTGGTAGAGTATTTGTCTTATATATGGGTGAAATTATATTTCGTAAAATTGGTATAATGAAATAGTTTCTCTTTTAAAGTTAAATATTCTATCGATATCTTTTTCTTTAATTATATCGTTAAGATGTTTTGATTTAATTATTGTATTGATTATTGATATTATTGCTAGTTTAAATAGATATATTTGTTGAGGTATTCTATCGTATTCGTATATTATTTCTTCTTTTTTAGAGGGTGATTGTATTTACAGTTAGTTCTTGTTTTTTAGTTGTTCAAGGTATTCTTAGAATAATTCTTGTTGCACATTGTCAGTTACTTGTTGGGCTTTCTTTTCAAGTTGTTGAATATATTGTTGATAGTAGTTAAGTCCAAGTTTATATCCTGGTTTGGGTCCTCTTTTCTTGTGTTGTATATATTTACAAAGTATTCTTCTTTCTATACAATTGTCATAGTCGTTGATGTTTGTTAACAATAGTTTTGTACACTTTCATTTATGATTATAGCACTCTATACAGGTGTGCTTGAAGTATGGTGTGGTGTGTATTCTTTTTGTTGTGGTGTGTTTGGGCATTCACTTTCTTCATCAGAGGTGTCTTGTAAGTTATCAAATACTTCGTAAAGTTTATCGAAGTCATGTTGTTCTTCAAGTGATTCAAAGATTAATTTTGCTTCTTCAATTATATGTAATAGATTTATTTTGCGTCAAATATTTTTCTAAGTACTTTAGTTTTATCTGATGTCTGATAGTTTCTTTTACAGTTTTTATTACTAAGTTTACAAAATGTGCAAGGTATTTTATTATCACAAGGTAGATCTTTAGTTTTGCAATATTCGCAAATTGTATATCTTTCTTGTATTTTAGGTATTCGTTTTTTATGATCAATGTGTTTGGGCATGTTTGAATCAAAGGTCAAAATGCCTTTCTTTTATAAGTTTTTCTTATTACTTTTGTAATACTTTGTTATTTATAAATTTTTCAATTATTTATATGATTAATAATACATGTTATAAAATATACTAATATAAATATTTATTCAAAATTATAAATGACTAATAATAGTTTATAGCATATTATGAGCACCTTATGCTTGTTTACTTTTTGTTTTTCAGAGGTATTTTTCATTTTTCAGGGTGAATTATTATTTCTGAGATTGGCAAGATATTCTTTGTGCAATTTATCAAATTTTTCTTCAGGGTATTGGTGTTCTAATATTGCAAATTCTGCTACAGCTT